CTCTCTCTCTCTCTCTCTCTCTCTCTCTCTCTCTCTCTCTCTCTCTCTCTCGGTGCCGTGGTTTCAGCCAGCTGATGGGATGTCCGGACGAAAAGCCAGCCAGAACACACGGGCACGCGCGCGTCGACGGGAGGCTGAGCGGGGGGAATCAATGAAATACGAGGACCGATTGGCTGCTAGTTCGTCATCCTCGGATATGGCACCGATTTCCGAGTGATTTCATTGGTTGCCGAGGTTCCCACGGTCGATACGCTTAGTCGATTGGTCGGGAAGAAGGTTACTATCGTAAACATTACGAGAGCGAGTAAAAAAGTCCCGCGAAGTAAGTTACTCCGACCCCCAGCGTGAGTAAAGAGTGAGTGAGAGAGAGAGAGAGACGATAACAAAACAAACTGCCACGCGCTCACCACGCCAGTAGTCTACCCATGTTCGCTAAAGCCGTGAGCAGAAACTTCTTCCGACTCTCGCTTGAACTCGTACAAGGTGCGCGTGAGAGAGGGAATGGTAATATTAACAGCTGATTGTTGTAACAGCAGGAGTAGCAACGGTTTTAGAGTGAGGGATAGATTCGTTAACGTGATATAAAACAAGAGAGTTGATGATGATGCATCACAGATGATTAATGTACCAGTGATACGTGTTTCTGCTGCTTACTTTTTCTTCTTCAGAAGATATCTGAGAACGTGAACAATTGTTGTCAGCATACGATGGTTTGTCCTCTTCTTTCTTACAGACAAACTTGTGAGTAGTAGAGAGGCACAGGGTTGTTTGTAAAGTTCTTCTGCTGCCAAGACTACCGTGTCGTTTTGTAAACTTGAACACTTGACTAGTATAGTTGTGATGGTGTTTTCTGGACTTTTGACCATTTCTGCTTACAGTAGCATTGAATTTCTTCTATAGACAATCTGTTGGCATTATTCTACAGACTGTGAACGTTTCAATTGCTGTTTCCCAAGACAATCGAAATAGCTTTAGAGACCCTAACACACCTTTAAAGGTTCTGATTCTGTTCATCTATTTGTGCGTGCCTAGAATATTCTTCCCGTTTCTCCCTGAGATGATGGGTATAATGTGGGACATCGTCTGAACTTTACTTCTCCAGTGACGCCATGTCCCATACACTTTGGTCTCCCAGGCACACAGAAAATGATGACATGTTCTCGGGGCGACCTCTCTTACTACGTATGAGCAGACTAGCTTGCCCTTTTCACAGTAGACTGCTGATATCACAGGCTGCCTTTGCCATGCACGAGCGCACGCACGGGCACCTGGACGATGTCGCTCTGACCATCCTGTTGTTTGACAGTTTGCACCAGTTACTGGAGAGCGTGAAGCGTATTCTGCACCAGCTGACCTCTGCCTTCCGAGGGCCGGCCCCTGCTTGCATTGAGAGAAGCTGTTCTAGCAACAAACTGCCAGATCTCGTCACAGGTAATTACCCCAAAAATGATGTTCTTCGATTTGCCATATTCTTTCGCACACACACACACACACATACACACACAAACACACAGAGAGAGAGAGAGAGA